AATATTTTATTTTTAGGAACTTTTTTACTTTTTTTCTTTATAATTCAATTTCTTTTTTAAATATAATTTTCTTAAAATGTTTAGACTTTATAGGTTTTAAAATAATATATTTTTTTAATTTCCTTTAAGTTTTGGGATATTGTGTTATTTTATTGTTTTTTGTATGTAGAGATTCTTTAATTTTTAGACTTTATTGTTTTAAAAAGAGAAATATTCATTTAATTTAATTTCATTTTTAGAAACTCCTTATTTTTTCTTTTCTTTTTAATTTTCTATAGTCCACATCGCTTTGCCCTTGCCAGAGATGTAGTAAGATCTGCTGTGACTTCGACAGAGAATCTCAATGAATGAACTCGAAAGCTAGGTGGGAATGCTTTAAGGTATAGTTGGCCACTTCATATGCACGCGTGCCAAAGCATAAAAAAATGAAACCTTTCGGTGGCCAACACTGCTCTAAGAAAATGCAGCAATAGGAAAAGCTCTCTTACAACAACAATAAATATAATTTAAATTAAAAAGTATAACGGTAACCTTTACAATTACTACAAAAAAAAAACATTTCCGACAAGCTGCTAATTTCATTTATTAACCACTGTGACCACAATGTACGCTATAATGAGTTTTGATATCCTTTTGTGGACAATTAAAGGACGTGCTATACATATGTACATACAAACATACATAAATGCATACACTCCAACACTCCAACACTTGTAGACTGTAATGTTTTGGGGTCACAATATTGGCCACTTGTCGCATATGTTTTGACATACAAAACACTGTAAAAGCATAACGAAAACAAAAGCAACACCAACAACAAACAGATGGCGTAGCATAAAAAGGACATGGAAAATTATAAACACAAAATTAACCAAACGCCGCATACATACATATGTATGTACGTAGTAGGATCATGAACTCGAATGCCCAACTCAATTGGTTTTTGGTATTTTTCTCATTCCCTTTCATAAATATGCTTTGCTGGTTGCTTCACTGCGTGTCGAACTTCGTGCAACGTTTGTGGCACATTGTATGTGCGTATGTGTTTGAGTTCGTACAAAAATAAATTTTCAGTTCTGGCTATACAACCGTCTGTCTGTCCTCGGAAGCCAGTTAACCTGTATGCTTGGAGTTAAAAGCGAAGTGTAAAAACCTGCGCATGGCTTCGAAACGGTCGACGGGGATGCCACTTGTTTGAAACGAGAGTGTAGGAATTCCTCACTCACCGTTGAATTCGTACGTTTATGTGTATGCTTGTTGATGTGTGGCAGGACACATGTCGCAGAAACACTCTGAACGACAGGACAATCCCAATGCGCACAGTGTCTGCGACGCGACGCCCCGTGAGTAGGACAACGGAGCGTACGAAATTCAAGGCGAATAGGAATGGTAAAGCAAAATAAGCGGGCGAGAAAGAAATAAAGCAACGAGGCGAGAATAAATACAAAAACATATGGACATTTATTGCTTGTTGAGCGACAACAAAAGGCGGCAAGGACACGCGCACGTTCCTGCCGCGGCACGTTCACAAACACAGAAGTAGGAAGGGCATATAAAATGTATGTATGTATGTAAGTACATGTAGGTGTGTGGCCTTTTCTGTGTGTCTCGAATGGGGCACATGTTTTGCTTTTGTACATACATACCAAATACATACCCTGCAGCAATTCAGACTCACCCTAGGTTAGCCCTTAGATAGTCCCTATTGTTACCAGCACTAGTCCCTCATAATTCCCCTGTCAATGGTTTCAACTGCCAGTTTTAGCATTGGCGTGTCATTGGAAAAGGACCGGTCCAATCAACACTGACCGTAAGATAGTCCTGGACTAGTCCAATTTTGGAGATTTTTTTTCGTTGGAGTAAGATTGCGTTCTGCACTTCGCGGATGCTTTTTCATAATTCGGAAATACAAGAAAAAATAAATTTTATCATTTTATAGCCATGCTGCTTCTGGCGGCATTTGAACGCGGACCCTCCGGAAAGCTAACAAATAGTGGCAAGCATCTCTGCGCACTGAGCTACAGCCACGCGTGTAAATGTGTGTTCGAATGTTCACTTTGCATCAAGGCCAGACCAAGCGATTGAGACATTTACAGGGTGGTGTTCTTTTTTTATTGAATTGCAAGACAACACCACCCTGTCACTGCCAAACTGTACTTTTCGTCTATCTCTAGGCCGGTTCCTTGGGGACTGGTCGAAGGCTGACATTTTCGATGCAAGCAAATGTCCAATTCTGACCAGTCAAATTTTAACCAGTGAATTACTAGTCCTTAACGGAAAATTGGCCGCCTTATTGCT